GTTCAGCACCAGCTCATATTAAACTAGCCACCTTCCTCGTGAGACAAGCCCTCAATATTGAATTGCAAAAAACCTGTTTGTCATAAGATGTAATCATGCAGTAGCCCCCCCCCCCGCCTACCCACCTAATTATCATTCACTTCCACTATTTTTTGATCGGTGATAGAGATAGTGGAGATCGAGCCCGTACGGACCTTTTTTTAACTCTTGCTTAAACTTACAGGGTTGCCACGGATTGAATCATCTGAACTGTTGAATCTGGCGCATCATACTTATGATGGCCCCCACATTAGACGATTTATGTTGCTCGATTTGTGAAAGTTTAGGTGAGACTTTGCTCATGTCGATAATTACTCGATATAACTCGGATTATGATTAGAAATACGCTCTTTTCACGATTGAAGAGATTGCTTGGATAGCAATTTGGATTGAAGAACTTGCCCCAATTCGTTTTGCTTGGGGGTTTCTAAGCAATCTATAGTATAGGGGTTGGTGGGAGTGGGGTGTGGGTCTTTAATAGACGTGGAGTAATCTTGGTCCGTCGATCAAGGATCAATCTCCTTGATCCGACGGTTATTAGCTTGACAACAACTTCATCAAGGCGACTATGATCTCATGCTATACGTCGTTGCATGCTTAGTCCTACGAGAAACATGATTTGATTGCAAGCACTCATTTTGCAGAAACTCTTCATTTTTTTGATATATTTTGAAAAAAAATTTGATTTTCTGCGATTGATTAGGTGGACGGTCTGTGTTTCCGGACGGGACGAATGGGGAGCCACTAGCCCATACCTGGAGCACGCAGATGTTAAGGCACGCCGACAGGCGCGTGCTAATTTCCACAATCACACTAATCGATTGAGTGAATTATTAATGCCATCTTTATAACTTGGCTTTATTCATATCCTCTTTCTTTTCGCATAAAGTTTTATGTGGGATCCATCGGTAGGTCAATAATCTATGAGACTGATTAATGCAAATGTTGCTCTTTAGGAAAATAAATAAATAAATAAAGACATATAATTGATTATACGCTGGTAAAAAACTAAAGATATTAGTTATTTTTTATAGCCTTTTTTTGCAAAACCTTTCGTTATAACGATCTACAAGTAAGCCTATTACTACTTTTAAATTTATGTAAATGAGTTTCGTACTCATGAAATACCGTGATAACGTAATGGCTAATAGGAAAATACTTCACCGGCTAGATAAGACCGAGCTCGAATTCGCATAAGCGGCTCAAACACGATATCGTTTATATTCGGTAATATGAAGAATTGAACATGTGCCGGTTCACGTGAAATCGCAAAGAAAGGTCCGCTCGATACGTCAATCGGCTAACCCCGATCATATGGATTAGCTCGAAAGCTCGATCAGCATCTGAACTGGAGATGATGTTTTGATCTCTGCTGCAAAGCTTTTGCAATATGCAGAAGGTGGACCGATGGGTCGCTTCCCTCGCTGTTCTTCTCATTTTTAGGTCAAAATGATTTCGAGTTTTCTTTGGGAGTAGGCAAAGCCAAGAAAGATGTGAAGAGAATGGCAGCTTCCGATCGCCTTTCTAACGCTGTTCGTTTGACCGTGAATCTTGGAACCACCTCATGTGATGGGCCGCAAGAATTTCGCAGTGGGCCTGAGTGGGCCGGGCCATGTGCCGGCCTAAAATCGTTTACCGAGCCCCGTTCGGGATTTTAAAAATACTAAAATTTACCAATAAAATATGATTGGATTTTGAGAGGGTCCACACCGGCCTATATAGACCGGCATGGGCCCATGAAAGAAATGTTTGCGCATACCCGCCCGATTTGTGCTAGGGGATTTGTTAGGTCGAGGGGACCGTTGATGAGCCATCAGACTTGTGATCGGGTCTAATTATGTCCTAAAAATTGCATCAACTGGATATTATTTTATATGGAAAATAAATAATTCGGGTAAATACCCGACCAAGGATGGAAGTAACCTCGTAAGCTACCGAAGGTAAGGGTGATAAGGAAATTTGAACATGCATGTCAGTCGGCTCATCTTTCTTTCAGCTATATCATTCTTTTATGGAAAGACGCAATAATTCCCTGAGCGCATCAAAGACACTCTTAATTGATTAGTGCAAGAATTGAGAACTAGTCAGGTATCAATCCTTCTGGGCCAGATTTATGAGTTCGAGTTCATTCGAGGAAAGATCCTAGAGCGGATGTACTAACCACGAAGTTTAGGGGGTTTTGTGTAAATTTTGTTATGGAGAGGAAGCTTATGGGTACACAAGGAATCTTCCTCGTGGATGAGTGACAATCTAGCAAATAAAAGTTGGAGGAAATCGGTCAAGAAGGAGAAAGACAATTCTTCCTTTTTCCAAATGAATACAGCACCTTAGGAATGAGACACACCATATGTCATTACTCATGCAAAAAAAAAGGAACCTTCGTCATTGCACATTCCATGAAAATTCCATTTGGTGTGTTGTTTGGTCACAAATCATCATTTGCTTTGGCTTTACACGTCGTAGATTACGAAATCCATGGGAAAGTCCTTATAAAAGAACATAGTGGATTAGGTAGAAATGGAATGATTAGCAACTTGTGTTTCCTACGAAGAACTTTGATGTCCGAACGGAGCGCCTAATCTCTAGGATCGACCCGTGTTGATGCAAATGCAATGCATCCACAAACTAAGAGACAACGATGAGGAAATTCTGTCAATATACAAAGACTAATGCAGAGAGAGAAAAAGGGCTTGTAACTGTACCCTCATTTGATATTCTAGAAAGTCCAAATGCTATCTCATCCAATGCCTTTGCCTTGGGTGGTCAACGGTCAACCTCGCTGAATCTTATTCCCCAAGAAATAACAGAGCAATTTCAAAACCAATAAGCCCCCTTATTAGCATTTCCAAATTGACCTTCTATTCATTTGAACCCTCCTTTAAAACCTCAGGCATCCCTCCTGTGTGATGCATCCCCAGCTCTTTTCCTCCTAGAGACACGAGGAAAGCCAAACCAAGGGAAAAAGCATAGCCAATTTTTGGGGACTGGGACACAAATGGGTACTTTGGTGGGTCATGTTGCACCTGGCCTTGGCTTCTTGCTCATTGGCCTATGGCACCTCTTCAACCACACCAAGCTCCATGCCCTTCACCCAAAGCTCCTACAAGTCCCCCCCATGGTTTCCCACCTCGAGATTTAGGTACTTGGAGCTCCTCTCGATCGTGGCCGGCTGCTCGATGTCCGTGGCGATGGAGCTCTTCATCGGCCCTCGAGGTCACCAGCCCTTCGACCCGGACGGCACCATCCCGTTGAACCATCTCCACAACTTCGAGCACGCGGAGATCTCCCTCACCTTCTTCGTCTTCGCGGGCTTCGCAATCCAATATGTCATCATCTATTAGAAAACTTTCGTTCAATAGAATGAAGAAAAAGAGTACATGTTCGATGTATACCCATTATTCTTGCTAGCGGAAACGACAAAAGATATGGAGTCATTAAATATCTAATATTTTGTCCTTCTTATATGTTCATTAAAAGATTATACACTTTTCATGTTAAAAAAATCCAACTAAAATAATTATATGTGTTCTTACATGACTAGTCTCAAAAGAAAAGGACATCGTGCCCTTTCTTTCTCCATGGCCCCATTGGCCCATTTCTACATGCCGGACAGCTAAAGAAACCCTAGAATTATCAACATCCAACTTACAAAATTAAATTACCAATTGATGCGACAAATCACACGATCCAGACTCAAATATGGTGTAATAGATTGAATGAGACCACTCCCAATCTGTCGAATGACTTGATAAATCAATTGGGAAAATTACCAAAACAGTCTTAAACCTATTACAATTGTGCCAATTCAATTCTAAACATTTTTTTTTGCCCAATTCAGTCCTAAACTTTTTGTATTTGTGCCAATTCAGTCCATCTGACCAATTTTGGCCGGCCGGCGCTAGTGTGGACGCTGGCCGGTGTCGGCCCTCCGGCTAACGCTGACGTGGCAATTTTAAAATATTTTTAATTTTTGAAAAAAAATTAAGTCACTATTATTGGATTTTAGCAAAAAAAAAAGTCACTATTATTGGAGTCTTCCGGAGATCTTGTGAGTTGTTATGGCTGGAAATAGTGGAAAATAAAACTCAATTGAGAAGTTCCTTGAATCTAAATTGGAGTGGGTTTTGTGTTGCGTACGCAATTCAATCATTGTAATTGTTATGTTCGAGAAATGATTTGATTGTTTTAACATCTAATTTTTGAGAAACGCAGAGGCGATCGGTTTCAGGATAGGTCGGTTCCCATTCATGAACCGGAAGTGAGGTGTGAGCTTGACTGAGACTGAGAGGAGCGAGAGGCGTCAAGTTGCGAGGGAGGCATGAGAGTGAGGGAGGGGCGAGTGAGAGGTGTTGAGGCGCAAGGGAGGCATCAACACTGCCTGACTGAGACTGAGAGAAGTGAGAGGCGTGAGCGTGACTATGTTTGAGACTGAGTGAGAAAGAATAAGTAATTAGGGTTTTGAAATAATAAGAATTAAAAAATTATCGGTCCAATCCAGATGGTTCGGTCCACACCTGAAATTGGGAATTGGATCGATAATTACCGATTCCAAATTTTAGAAATCGGGAACCGCTCAGACAGGTTACTTCGGTCCGGTTCCAATCCTCACCACAGAATTATTAATGAATCATGTTGCCGGATCATTCTATGTTAACAGTCACCCTTACTATTGGAAGTAACGGGGTTGTGTAGGTCACCGATTGTACTACTAGCATAACACCAGTTGTAACGGAGGGAAGGAAATTTTTTTTCACAATGCTAGCACAACACCAATTGCCTTTCCTATCAATTGCATCTTGTGGCCTCCACGCCATGGTTACTTGCAACAATTACGGTGACGGTTACTTAAGCATATCCCTTATCCCTTATGTGTTTGATAAAACAGCTCGATCCCGAGTCACCAAGTCACGTGAATCAAACAACATCATAGCGGTCGGACCCTCGTTCATTCACCAAGCGAAACTTCGCTTCACGCGCCATTCTCATAATTTCATCCACGGGGAGTAGGGTGGCCAGTCCACTTTCTGCCCGTTGACCTGCGAGACTACTACATACGTCCGATCTCCGCCTGGGCCTACCCCACTAGCTAGCTACAGCGAAGCACCTCCATGGCCACTCTCGCTCCGATCTCCTCCCTCCTCCTCCTCCTCCTCCTCTCCTCCGCCGTCCCGGCGCCCGCCTCCGGCTTCGGGACCGCCCTCGACCGGAGCCTCATGGGCGTCGACCTCGGGAAGGAGAAGCTCAGCCACTTACGCTTCTACTGGCACGACGTCGTGAGCGGCCCCAAGCCCACCTCCGTCCCCGTCGTGCCCCCGCCGTCCAACGCCTCCGCCACCGCCTTCGGCTTCGTCAACATGATCGACAACCCCCTGACCCTCCTCCCCGACATCGGGTCCGAGCTCGTCGGCCGCGCCCAGGGCCTGTACTCCTCGGCGTCGCAGGAGGAGGTGGCGCTGCTGATGATCATGAACTTCGCCTTCGTGTCGGGGAAGTACAACGGCAGCGGCATCACCGTGCTGGGGCGGAACCCGGTGTTCCACAAGGTGCGGGAGATGCCGGTGATCGCCGGCACCGGGCTGTTCCGGTTCGCCCGCGGGTACGCCCAGGCGAGCACCCACACGGTGGACCTGAAGACCCACGACGCCGTCGTGGAGTACAACGTCTACGTGCTGCACTATTGACGTCCGGTGATATGCGTGATGATCGATTTTTTTACATTTCGGGCCCTTTTCTTATTCCTTTTTGCTTTCTCTTTCGATGGTTGCCAGCTTTTCTCCATTATGATTCTGGGAATTCTAGAGATAGCAATCATGAGGCCACCACTGACTCTAGGGTTTTGCTCTTGTGGTCCAAAGCGAAATGGGGTTGGTCCGGTGGAATAGTATTCACTTGTTTTACTGAGTTGTCAATAATGCAGTATCCAACACAGAATTTTACCTTCTTCCATTTCAACTACTTAAGTTTGGATAATATTTCCTATATGCAATCTTTATGTGTACTAACATTGGTCGGCGAAATTGATTTATCAAGTCATTCGACAGATTGGGAGTGGTCTCATTAGATCTATTACAACGTATTGGAGTTTGGATCGTGTGATTCGTCACATCAATTGGTAATTTAATGTTGTAAGTTGGATGTTCATAATTCTAGGGTTTCTTTAGCTGTCCGGCATGTAGAAGGTGCAATGGGCCAATGGGGCCATGGAGAAAGAAAGGGCACGATGTCCTTTTCTTTTGAGACTAGTCATGTGAGAACAGCAATGCATATAATTATTTCAGTCGGATTTTTTAACATGAAAAGTGTATAATCTTTTAATAAACACATAAGAAGGACAAAATATTAGATATTTAATGACTCCATATCTTTTGTCGTTTCCGCTAGCAAGATGAGTGGGTATACATCGAACATGTACTCTTTTTCTTCATTCTATTGAACGAAAGTTTTCTAATAGATGATGACATATTGAAAAAAGTAAATTGAAGCACCACTTGTTTAAAATGATAGTCTTACATATCAGAGTAGCTAGCTAAAAACCTAATTTTCAATGAAAAACCAATCATTGCTTTTGACGTGATAAGTTTGAAAGTATTTTAATAAGATGAGCGATATCAAATGCACATAGGATTAGCCGATGCGATTATGATACCGACACAATTATTATAGAACACACTTTGTTATTTTTATGTCAAGAAATTTACAGTGCATGCACGCCGAGTAAAAAGTCAAATTAAGTGCGAAATAAATATATATTTACACAAATACACATAAACATGAACCTAAAATCATTCATTTTATGTTGAGATCAAGTTGTATTTCATATAGTGCACAATAAAGTACGGTGTTTGTACCATATTTTGTCGTGTCAAGTATTGCCAAGTTCATAAAAGATTAATTTTTTAGACAATTGCATAAAAATAAGGAAAAATACATAGGAATATTTAAAAACAAAAAGACCTTGTAAGTGATGTTGGAGAGTGGGAGTAGGTGGAGTTGAGCATAGAAATTGCACCATAAAATGCTAATTTCTCTCATGCATCATCAATATTTAGTCAATCTATACCAATCATAATTGTATTGAAGTTTCTCTTACATGGGCTCTTTGAGCGAGGTTGGGCCGCAAATCATAGAAATGGCGTCCATGGACCCCCCTGCACTCACCCCGCACCATACATATGTGAACTCCACCGGAAGCGAAATATATAGTTCAGATTCATGCTCATTTGCTCATGCAATATGAAACGAGCATTGACGTATATCCATACTGGTATTTCATCGCAATGAATGTAAATTCAATCGTGCAATTTATGCCATTAGACCTATCGTTAAGCAGTGTGCCCGCCGAACCCAACCAAGTTGGTCTGAATGGCAAAATGGGGCGAGTTTGGACAAGTAATTTCCTTTTTGGGCACTGACCGTCCACTTCAGCTTGCGAAGCGGCACTAACATTGTCTCTCGTGGGTCTCAAAGGAGTATTGGGACAAGTAATGGAGAGGGTTATGGAGACCGAGTCACGATGATTGTAGCCGAGCCACAAAGAAGTGAGCATGGCGATGGAGGTGGCGACTGGCGCAACTAGGGGTGAGCGGTTCCAGGTTCTTTACAGGTTCCACCTAGAACCTAGAATCTATCCACAGGTACAGGTTCCCCATTTTTTGGAACCTGAAACTTATCCGTTAGAACCTGGAACCTAGAACCTACCCTGTCGCAGGTTCCAGAGTCTAACATGTTCTTTTTATTAATTTCATTTTTAGTTAAACGAAACGAAAATAAACGCAACAATACCGAACAAGCTTGTCATTTATCAAAGAGAATACAAAAGACTAATTTTACTGGCATTACGGTTCAAATAAATATAATTAAACTGAGAAGTCATTGTATGAATCGCTACTAAGAGTGAGCGGTTCCATGTTTCGTACATGTTCCACTTGGAATCTGCTCATGAGAATAGGTTCCTCAATTTTTTACAACATGGAACCTACTATATCACAAGTTCAAAGGTCATTTCCAAGGTCTACCCAGGTTTTACCTATATTATTAATTGAACATTTGCAGTGAATCATCACTTTCAATGATCACCACTTGCTGCTATGATCTACTAATCACAATTTATATTTAGGAACACGAAAAATATAAAACATTAACAAGTCATAAAATGAAAGCTCAAACTAGTGGTTCTAGATTATATATCGATCATCTAACGCCATGAACCACCGTAGAATCACGTAAAGACATAGACCAAGAAAAAACACAAAAAAACTTGTTTAAGTTTCAGGTTATAGGTTCCAGATTCTGCCTACCTAGAACCTAAAACCTACTCGTCGAAACAGGTTCCCTAATTTTTGGAACATGGAATCTACCCTGCATATCTTGGAACCTACAAGTTCCCACCGGTTAGGTTCTCAGGTTTCAGATTCTACTTTGGAACCATGCTCACCCCTAGGCGCAATCATGACAAATGGGGGACGGGCCGGGGGGGGGAGGATTGTGGAGAGGATCGGTCATGATGGAGCTAGATCGAGTGGCTCGTATGGTGGTTGTGGTGGCGACGACTAAAGAGCGAATCATAGGCGGGTGGCCAACAACAATAATCTTGCCTCATGCAATTGCAAACGCGATTAATCTCTTTCTTCGTTTTTTATTTTTTATTTTCTTAGTATATCTAAAAAATGTATAATTTCAGAATATACAAAAATGATATGTCAGTGGTTACATCAACATGATCAAAGCATGTTACTTACACAAGTAGCAGACTGCCTAAAACTTTAGATCTATAATATTATACAACAATGGTAATAAACCATGAATAAATCATATTCTTACTCCAAAAATTTATCAAAAATGATAGTTTTTAATTAGCATTCCATCTTTTCATCATTTTATTCTCATGGTTCCATTATGGTCAAAACAAACGAGACGAAATGATAAGTGAGGTTTACTCGAGAATTGCGGCATAACCGAATCAAGGTTTGTTAGTCTATATTTTCAAATATAACAATATTTTTTTTAAAAATGTCGTCGGTGTAGCATTTTTTTTTTCACGTAAGAAGACATGGAAGGGTTTCCTCGTTTATTGATCGAATGCAATTATGAATGCCTTAATCCTGTTTGAAAGAAAAGATTTATGCCGACAATATACCCTTTTTTTGTAATTTATTACTTTCTGTTCAGAAATTTGAAAAATGAAACAAAGTTATTTAAAAAAGCAAAAAAATAAAAATAAAAATGGCTAACCTAAGGTCAATTAGTGGTGATCAGTTCTAAGGTAGGTAGGTTCCCTATTATAACCGGTTCTCAATTTTTGGAACCAGTAACCTATCTTGTTTGCCTTGAAACCATTTTGGAACCTACCTTGTTTTTGCAATCCGATTCCAGGGTGTACTCGAAAACCTATTTTTTTTTTGTTCCCTTTTCTGGTTTCATTTTTCCAGCAAAATAATATGAGTAGCAATGAAACAATTCAAAATAAAAGATGAATAATAAAAATCACTATTCGCCAAAAGCAACAATTTCTAAGATTAGCAATAGAAATTACTATTCACAAAAAGTAACAATTCAAAATATAGTAATAATATGATCTAGGTTTTTTTTTAACATAAGTTAAAAATCAATTTCAAAACCGGTCTGATCGGTTCGGTTTTCGGGTGGGTCTTCATTTATAACTTGGAATCGGATTGATTCTAACTTGTTCCCAAAAAATGAAACCGGTTCTTGAATCTATTTTTCGGGTGATCCAGTCTGATTTCCGTATAAGTCCGATTTGGTTGCAGGCCCTGGGTCAACCGATCACAGGTCATAGGATGCCATTTGTCAATGATGAATTGTAGTGCATTTAATCAAAAGGAGTGGAGGTGCAGTTCGGCCCGTCGCTTCCTGTCGGCCATAGAATAGACATGGCTCGATGTTAGGAACTCAAATCTGGACCGGGCCCACGTGAAATCCAAAGTTAGGTAATGATGATTGATGTTGTGCATCTATTGTAGCAACCTTGGGATATGGTTTGCTTTAGTTTGTTTGGCCAATGTGACGTCGGACTTTCTTTAGGCCTTTTCTTGAAGATTCATGTGGCAATGCAAATTTTAGGAATTATTAAAGTCTTTCTTTTTTCAGTCTAAAGGAACCATTAAAGTTCAACCGCTGGATTTTCTAGCGTGTCTTATCTCTGATCGGAAGAAATTCTCTCTCTAACAACAATTTTGATCGTCAGATTGACGGGTTATTCATATTGACCTCATTGAACATGCTAAGTTAACTAATAATAAAGGGATAGGTGCATAAGAAGTTCTAAAATTTATCGTAAAAGTCCTAAAATGTTTAAAAAGTTGCAAGTCTTAGAACTTGACAAATCGACACAATCTAGTCGCTCTTTTAATTTCGTCCACTTTGGCTAATGCAAAATGCTCACATTTCTTAAGACACGTAGCGCTAATGTGACCATTTTTTATTATTTTTTTGAAGAGAGACGTTGACGTGGCATCTTCTTTTTCCTTGGGTCAACATCTTCTTCTTCCTTTGAACTCAAGCTCTTCCATGGCCACAAGCGTCAAGCGAGCTTGAGTGCCCACGACAACCATGAGCTTCGAGCTCGAGCTTAGATGGCCAACAACCATGGTCGCGAGCTTGTAATGATCCTATGTGAATGTCTGAAAATGACTTTTTACCAGCATGAGCAGCTTGAGCAGGGTCTCCCCTATAATTCTTAATGTATAGAGACCGAACTTAGTGTATAAATCATCGATTTCAATCTTCATGCCGATCATTGCTTCTTTTCTATCTCCAGATGTGTAATAGGCGATCGCATCAAAATTGATGACCACGTTGTCGAAAAGTTAGGCGCTGGTAGCTTTCTCTTGCGCTTTAGAATTCCTGATTGGAGGAAGTACATTTAACTAGTAGAAAAGGAGAAAAGGATTAAGAGAGAATAATGGGTAGTTAATAGCCGCAGCTGCTGCAAGCTTCGAGCTCAAACAGCCAACGGTCATGGCTACA